CTTTTCTTGTGTCAGTCCCTAGGAAGATCAGGACTACTTCACAGGTTCACCAGGGAGGCCACACTTAAACGACCCACATAGGAGAAAGGATTTAGGAGCAATACTCTTAACAAGATTTTGCTTACTCACCTAACAAACCTATTCAGATTAGAATGAAATGAAACCAGCCCGGAAACCAAATATGAGGTTTCCCCTACCAACTTGTTCAGACTGAAGCAACTACCCTGTTTCCCCTAAAATAAGACCTCCCCGGATAATAAGCGCAATCGGGCTTTTGAGCGCATGTGCTAAAATAAGCCCCCCCCTGAAAATAAGCCCTCCCTGAAAATATCAAACAGCATGCGCAGTCAGTCCCCGTCATTTCCTCTGGTTAGGGTTAGGGAGACAGAGCTGGAAATCAGGTAAGATGGCAAAAAGAGCCCCATCTTTCTCCACGTGCCCCAAAATAATAAGACCTCCCCGAAAATAAGGCCAAACGCTTATTTCAGGGTTCAAAAAAATATAAGACAGGGTCTTATTTTTGGGGAAATACGGTGTTTGGATAAAACATTTCAAACTAAAAAGATAAGTTCATTTGCCATGCCTCAATTTCCAGACAACTCTACCTGATTGAGAATCTTCATCGACAGATTAATACGGTATATGTTAGACATGTATTGACAATTTCTAGCACAGCAATGTATACATATTAATAGTGTTGCCAACAATTACTTCTTCTGAAGCATTTCATGTAGAGCTATCACTTATTCATATGATTCCAAGCATGTTTTATACAAAAATGCCAGTGGAATTAAGCTCAGTGGAATTACTTGATTTCAAGGTTTAAGATTGTATGCATAGTACTCGTTTTAATAATTAATATTATTAATTATTATTAATAATTACATCTGGAATTTAAAATAATATAGGAGCACCTGAAAGACCCATTACAACCCTTTAAGTCAATGGATACAAAGCCAATTTTAATTCTTCACTTTATGAATAGTTACTGCAATTGAAATATAGCTCAAACTACCTCCCAAACTCGAATGCAGTATTTTGAAGGAAGTTATACTGATCGACTTCCTTATTTCTGTCAAACAGGCCAAGGCAGAGGAACGAAGAACAAACTTCACATGTAAGGCTACTAGACCTAAGCAGATCAAAATGTATTTGAGTTTTTGTATTATGGCTACCATGTAATGGTTATGTGAATTTTTGCTGCCTGGATCTGATAACCTTAGCTTGTTTAGCTGATTTAGATTTCAGAGAATGCTCTCCAATTATCCTCTGAAATATGTTTTGCATCTCAAAGACTGAACGTTCCACAATTTATATGCATTGTTCAAAGTAACAAAATTCCCTCTTCTTCAGGAAAAGCTGATATTTGGGGGCCCTTTTCTGCAAAAATACATCCAAAGACAACATACTCACTAGACTGTTGTACTTCACATGACGACAGCAATAACATACAAGACACCCAATTCTTTGTTCAGAACTTGCTTACAGCAGGAGTTTCATAGACATAAACACGATACAGCTGAAAAGTGGCTTTATTGCATAAAAGAAAAAGGCTACTTATACACAAAAATTCTGCCCTGTGCAGAACACAGAAATCAAATTTTCTAATATATGTGTTCCAGACAGTGGTGAAATCTAAAGTTTGTTACTACCGGTTCTGTGGGCGTGGCTTGGTGGGCGGGGTAATGTGACTGGGTAGGCGTGGGCATTTTTTTTTTTTCATTTTTAAAACCATTTTTTCTACAACCTCTTCAGCGAAGAGGTTGTAAAAAAATGCTTTCAAAAGGCTCTGATGATCAGGCAACTCAGCTTGGATCATCAGAAGCATTTAAAAGAAAAAAAGGATTTTTTTTCTTTTAAATGCCTCTGACGATCCAAGCTGAGTTTTTTTTTAAAAGCCTCTGCCGATCAGGCAACTCAGCTTGGATCGTCAGAGATATTTAAAAGAAAAAAAGGGTTTTTTTTCTTTTAAAAGCCTTTGACGATCCCAGCTGAGTCGTGCGATCATCAGAGGCTTTTTTTTTTTACTTTTAAAAGCATTTTTTCAGCCGAAAAGGTTGTAGAAAAAATGCTTTTAAAAGTAAAAAAAAGGCCTCTATATAGCTTCTATATTCTGTAATTAAAAATCAGACATAGAAACAGGCAAAGGAAAATAAAGATATTTGGGAAGGAAAAAAAGCTTAAAGATGGATTGGAGCTGGTGTTGTTGGTATTGTCAGTGGAGTAACCATCAGAATCATGAGAATTTAGAAGTAGAGATCAGTGATTAACACCCTAATACAGGGGTCCCCAACCTCCGGTCCATGGACTGGCAGCAGACCGCAGCATACCAGAAACTGGGCTGCACAAACAAGCAAAGCCCCATCTGCGGGATACAAGCAGCCTGCAAAATCATACCCCCTCCAGTTCGTGGAAAAACCCCTCCCACGGAACTGGTCCCTGGTGCCCAAAAGGTTGGGGGCTGCTGCCCTAATACACTTACCCATTAAAACTGTCCAGAAGCAACAGTTCAGATGAATAATTATCTTCAGCATTTACATGTGACACATTTCTGGAGTGGATACTTTTTCCTACCATTTACAGTAGTGGCCAAAATTGTGGAAACCTTTTGGGAGAAGTGTATTTTTGAGGTTTGATGGCTAATAACACCACTTTTTTGGGGGGGGTGGAGTTTCAAGATAATCATATTCCACTGATGGAATGGCCTGGGAATAACCCAGATTGAACCCAAATGAAAATCTATGGAGCCAATGTTTTTTGTTTGTTTGTTTGTTTGTTTTTTGCTTTAATTTATATGCTGCCCTTCTCCGGAGACTCAGGGCGGCTTACAATGCGTTAAGCAATAGCCTTCATACTTTTGTATATTTATACAAAGTCAGTTTATTGCCCCCACAATCTGGGTCCTCATTTCACCTACCTTTGAAAGGATGGAAGGCTGAGTCAACCTTGAGCCTGGTGAAATTTGAACTTGCAGTAATTGCAAGCAGCAGATGTTAATAACAGTGCTTTAGTCCACTGTAATACAGGCTCTTCTTAAAGAAACTTAAAGAAACTTGTTAGTCTGAAGCAACCCAGCAATAAAATTTAGTTTAATAGAAGCAATCATTCAATCTTGGTTTCAGATTATAACAGCTGCAGAAGTATTGGTTCACTCCATGGGAAGACATTGTAAGGTCGTAATTCATGCTACAGGTTACCCAACTATTAACTGACATGGTGATAATTTTTGTATATCTCATTTTTTCTACGTGTTTCACTTTTCTTCTTTATACTGTAACTGCTATTCTAATAGCAAATCCTTCATAAAAGTTATTGCATTACATTCTTGATTAAATTATCTTTCCATTGATACATAATTTTATGGTACTACTCCAAAAAAAAAAAAAAGTAGTATTATTAGCTAGTTTTAGAAAATACACTTTTCCCAAAAGGGTTCCACAATTTTGGCCACTACTGTATATACTGGTGCAGCAACTCTGTACATTAAAACTTAGGAACACAAATCAAAACTCTTAGTATGAAATGTACATAATAATTCAAGCTGTCATAATTATGGTATTAGATGCAGCAAAAGGATTAAATAGAGAAATTACTTCCTAATGTGCCTGGGGCAACTATATTCTAATGCAAGGCTTATATTGAAAAGTTCTGGAAAAACATTTCAGTTTGATAATTATATATAGGCAAGGCAATCATGTTGATATCAGCCTTCCTTCAGCCTTGTGCTATCTAGATATCAACTCCTGTCATTGCTAATCTGCACTGGCCATGACTCAGGATGGGGCAAAAGGAGGTGACTATAGCAAACATGAGCATAGTTTAGTACCATGCACACACCCTTCTATATTAAAATGTAGTTTGTGATTCAGTGCGCTGTTCATATCCAAGCAACTGGGTTCAAAAGGTTTAAAAAAATTTATAATTAACAACATATTGTGTGACTGCAACCACAATCAAAGCATACAACTTTTGTCTGTGCATCATCTCCCAGTACAGTAGATACAGGTTTGTCTGTACATGTGCATAGAAATGCTCCTACATGGCGACTGCCAAATTGGCGAGACCTGCTTAGCCCTGGTTTACTTAACCTTTTGGTTTGCTCAAACTAGCCTTCCGAATTTGCCCGCTGAGCTAATCCACACAACATAGATAAATAAACATCACTTGAGACTTTCAAGAAAAGATTGGACTGCCATTTGTCAGAAATGGTGTAGGGCAGGGGTCAGCAACCTGTGGCTCTGGAGCTGCATGTGGCTCTTTCACCCCTCTGCTGCGGCTTCCTGTCACTCAAAATATGCGTTGCAACTGCCAATGTGTGACACCCGCCAGCACGCTATTTATTGAGTTTTTCAACCTCCAGTAGACCAACCATGGATAAATCCAAGAAAAGAAGTTTCTGAAGAAAACAGAAAGTTTCATTCAACTTTGTATATGCTAGTTTTGTGGCCCCTCCAGAAATAGGCACAGGAAGGGTTTTGAGGCTCCCAGTGTTTTCTTTTCTGCGGGAAACGGGTCCAAATGGCTCTTTGAGTGTTTAAGGTTGCAGACCCCTGGTGTAGGGTCTCCTGTCTGAGGGGGGGTTGGACTAGATGACCAATAAGATCCCTTCCAACTCTGTTAATCTGTTAAAAACACGATGTTGAGTTGCTGCGCAAACGCCTTCCGGATCGCCTCAGGATCAACGCGACCGGGCCTCTCGCCCTCAGGCTGCCTGAGGATGACCGAAATCACCCCACCCTTCTCCAGACCAGACGAGGGGCAAGAGAGACACGGAAACGGCGGGTTCCTCCAGCTACTTCCACTAGCTCGACGGCGGAGGAGAGGCAGCTTTTGGCAAAGAGCAAGTCGCGTGGCGGGGAGAGAGAGAACGAGCGACGGCTACGGAGCCGACGACGTTCCCCCCCCCCTCCGCCCCCAACCGCACCCGGGACGGGGCGGCCGCAGTTCCCAGCCTGCCACTTCCTGCCCGCCTCCAGCCAGGCCACCGGGCTTCCCCGCCCTCGGCTCCTCCCGTCGCCGCCGCGCAACTGCTGGCTCTGGGAGGCCAGATCGGGCCAGCGGGAAGGCGCCATGGCGCTTCTGGAGCCGCCGCTAAGCGGAGCGCAGCTGAAGCGCCTGGAACAGCACAGCTACAGCGCGTCCGGGCGCTCGCTGCTGGAGCCGCCGCTGCAGCATTACTGGGTTTGGCTGGTGGAGCGCACGCCGCTCTGGCTGGCCCCCAACGCCATCACGCTCGCCGGCCTGGTCTTTACCCTCGTCCCTTCGCTGATTCTTATATACTACTGCCCTACCGCCACCGAGGAGGTACGGTAGTCCACGCCGGGGAGACTCGCCTCCGCCGTCGCCCTTCTGGGTGCGCGCTTCGTCTGGTTTCGCTTCAGAGAGGTGTGGGGGGGGGCAGAGAGGTGTAGGGGCGGATGGCGGAGGGTCAGGTTACCAGGCAAAAGTAAAACCTGGGCCGCCCTGGAGTTCAAATTCCAGGGGTTCAGCCGCCCGTCCAGCTTACTCAGCAGATACTCATACAGGGTTAAGATCTGAGCGTATTTAGGATACTATTCTTGAACTCGTTTCGTGTGAACCGCCTGATGGGTTTTCGCGGAGTCTTGCGGGGTTCTGTCACACACACTTGCCGTAAGAGAAGCTCCCCTCCTCTCGGGGCAAGAGGGGACTTATTGTTGGCCAACCCTGCAGCCTCGTCGTGAGAAACAGGATGGGTTGGAGTCCAGTGTGTGTAGATTGGGCTGAGAAAGATCTGTGTTGCCTGTCATAAACTTTTCTTTTAAAAAAAAAAAATATTCGAGTCACCTGAGGACTTGCGGAAATTGAAGTAACTCAACAACTCTGTGTGTGTGTGTATTTGTTTGTTTGTTTGTTAGTTAGTTAGTTAGTTAGTTAGTTAGTTAGTTAGTTAGTTAGTTAGTTAGTTAATCAGTTAGTTGGATTTACAACATGCCTTTCCTGTGGTAAAGCGTTTAGGATTAGATTGGGAATCTTTGAGCAAAGTCACAGTATCTACAGTTTTTGAGCCCTTGGAGTAGAAGCTTATAGGAAAGGGCCAATTTTAGACATTTGCATCTCTGAAAGAGAACTTTTCTTCGCATACAAAACAGGTTTGCATTTGCATGATACCAATAAAGATACGATTTCCTTTTTGTGGAGTTTCACTGCTGGTGACTGCAGAGATACATTAACTTCTCAACAACAGTAAGGAAGTGGTTATTTGTTGCTGCAGCCTCCGCCTCCTTTTTTTTAAAGTTCCCAGTCTAGTTTCCATGCTTCTGGGAGTTTCTGATAGTCTTGTATCTGAGGATTAACTAGGTCTGACCCTGTATGATTTTTCATGATCGCCTAGATGAGAGTTCTCCAACCTTGGCAACTTTAAGCCTGGAGGACTTCAACTCCCAGAATTCCCCAACCAGCAAAGAATGACGGAACAGCAAAGCTGGTTGGGAAATTCTGGGGGTTGAAGTCCTCCAGGCTTAAAGTTGCCAAGGTTGGAGACTCCTGGACTAGATGGTAGTCCATGGTGCATATTATTATCAACCGAATCAGCTGCAGAATGAAGGCCTCTTGGCTGAAGTTGATTTATTTTATGTGTTCAATTTCCATAGCTGCCCATCTCAAGTGACTCTTTATAGTTTGCAATGTAGCATGCTAGTCTACTTTGGATTAGATGTTGTTCCACTTTCCAGTCTTGGCTCAGAAACAATGACTGGCCCAAAGGCATCCAGCTGGCTTCTATGCCTAAGGGAGGATTAAAACAGGATATCCTTGCTCATGCTTTTTAGTAATCTAGAGACTAGGTTATTAGCCTTATTCTTACGGAGTGCCTTATCATTCACTGGTTTTGTAACAAGCCTACTTTAGGATACAATGGGCTGAAGACAAAATAGTGATTAAAGGGGAATGTCATAATAGATGTTCAAGGACGCTCTGTGCTTATATTTATTGGATGAGAATGGCAGAACAGCTTGTTTCTGTATAAGGGATCCTTGTGCTCTCTGAGCTTGCTTGTTTTTCTTGCAGATGTTTCATTAGCCTAACTAGGTAATATAGGTAGTCCTCGACTTATAACAGTTCAGTTAGTAACTGTTCAAAGTTACAACGGCACTGAAAAAAGTGACATGACCGTTTTTCACAGTTACAACCTTTGTAGCATTCCCAGGATCATGTGATCAAAATTCAGACACTTGGCAACTGACTCATACTTATGACCATTGCTATGTCCCAAGGTCATGCGATCACCTTTTGCACCCAAAGTCAATGGGGAAGCCAGATTCACTTAACAACTGAGTTACTAACTTATCAACTGCAGTGATTCACTTAACAACTGTGGCAAGAAGGTCATAAAATGGGGCAAAACTCACTTAACAAATGTCTCACTTAACAACGGAAACTTTGGGCTCAATTGTGGTTGTAAGTTGAGGACTACGTGTACTAGTACTAGCACTAATAATGTTACCTAGTTAGGGTAATGAAAGTCTGCAAGAAAACAAGAAAACTCAGAGCACCAAGGATCCCTCATTTCAACCCTGAGCTACAAATTCTCCTACATATTCTCCTTTATTGTTTCTGTATATTTGTTTCAGGCTCCTCCTTGGGTGTTCCTCTTTTGTGCATTAGGAATCTTTATTTACCAGTCTCTGGATGCGATCGATGGAAAGCAAGCCAGAAGAACAAATAGTAGTTCTCCATTGGGAGAATTGTTTGACCATGGCTGTGATTCTATTTCAACAGGTAACTTTTTAATTAGTTTCATCTTGCATCATGGACTGATAGAGTTGGAAGGAGGTCTTTTAGTCTAACCCCTGTAGATTGTCCCCTACAATCCCCGCTTCTAGTCAAAATATAGGATTACTTCTCTCTGTGAATTCAATCCATGCCTTCCTAGGGAACTTCCAACAAACCCCATTCTCAAGTTCATCCTACAATCCTTCAGATGTAAATGAAGCCATCTTAACACTAGGCCTGCAAATTGCTTGCAGGTTGAAGGGAAACAGTGCTTTGATGTGTGTGGGGCATGTAATACCTGTCTGATATTCTTTAAATCATAAGTGACTTTTCCAAACATGTAATGGCAACTCCAGAGGGCTGTCATGTGTCCTGGGGGAGGGGGGGATGGACGGACAGCTGTTTTTGAGTTTCCACTTGCTATGTGAGTATCCTTGCATACTCCATATCCAGAGGACAGAACAACTGTCACCATTCAGAGCAACCCAGAAAAGTAGTCCTTTCATCCTGTATTACAAAAACATTGTTTCTGGGCAACCAAAGCAATTTCTATCCAGCATTTTCATCTAAAACCAGGCTGAAATTTGTCTTTCAAAAGATAAAGATAAACCTTTCCCCTGTCCAGTTGTGTCCAACTCTAGGGTGTGGTGCTTATCTCTGTTTCTTAGCTGAGGGAGCTTTGTTCGGAGACACATCCGTGGTTATGTGGCCAGCATGACTATACATCTGGGTACACAGAACACTGTTACCTTCTCGCCAAAGTGGTACCTATTTAGCTTCTCACATTTGGATGCTTTTGAACTGCTGGGTTGGCAGGAGCTGGAGCTCACCCCATCACGCAGCACTGGGGTCTTAAACCTAGCTGTCAGATTTCCAGCTGACAGGCTCAGCATAATTTAATTTAATTTAATTTAATTTAATTTAATTTAATTTAATTTAATTTAATTTAATTATTCAATTTATATGCTGCTCCTCTCTGAAGACTCAGGGTGGCTCACAATATATTTTTAAAAATCATTATAAAAAACATTTTAAAATTAAAAACGTTAAAAACATTAAAAACTCATTCACGCCATTCATGGCGGGATCTCGCCAGATCACAAGAGCGAGATCAACGGCCTCAGGCCTGCCGGAAAAACCAGGTTTTCACCGCTTTTCGGAAGGCCAATAGGGTGGGGAGCCATTAATTGCTGAGCCATCACACCCTTTGGTCTTTTGAATATTTAATTAATAGAATTGCTCACAGGTGAGATATTTTTAAAATGTCCTAGTTAGGAAGAACAATTTGAGAATGGAACTATTTATCCAAGACAGTCATCTGTTTGGCATGCTTTAAACTGGATTCCTACACAAAATTGGAAGTTGGATCCAAGAGCCAAAATATTATCTTCTGGTTCTATAAACCAGCTCAATACATAAAATGGGTGCAAGTGGAGTGGTAATTTTTTAGATTAAATGAAGATCATATTAGCAACAATTCCTGGAGTGCAGTTATATTTTTTTGCTCAGCTCATCAATATTCTTTTTAAATACATGGTGTCTTTTATAAAGCAGGGGTAAGAAAACACACAAAGATTCTACTAGTTAGTGCAGGGGATTTCCCCCCCCCCCACTTAGTATAGCTTCCATTTTACTTATCAATGAAAAGTAATTACTGGTTATACCCAAAGTCTTAATTTATATATATATATTCTCCAAAACAGCTATGAGATATAACCTAACTTAATTGGCCTTTTCAGTATTCGTTGGTGTTGCAGCCTGTATTGCAGTTCGCTTGGGAACAAATCCAGACTGGCTCTTTTTCTGTTCCTTTACTGGGATATTCCTGTTTTACTGTGCTCACTGGCAAACCTATGTCTCGGGCATGCTCAGATTTGGCAAGTAAGTGGATGCCTGGATAAATGAATTTGCAACTTGTCTTCAGAAAAAAAATTGCTGTCATACTCAATTGGGACACCGGTTTTTTTTTTCCTCCTGTAGGAAAAATGTTATTTCTGAATTCCATGCTGAGTTAATAGTACATCAAATGAAATGATAATACTTCACAAAGTAGTTCGAAAGCTATGAAGGTTAAGTGGGAAGCATCAAAAACTTTGGAGAAAGGTTATGAGATGCTAAAGATGAGCCAGAAACCCTGCTATTGCTTTCAGCCAGCAAGTTGGAATGAAAAGGGGATGAAAAGAGCCCAGGTGGTGTAGCTGTTAGAATACAGTATTGCAGGCTAATTCTGCCTACAGCCTGGAGTTCAATCCTGACAAACTCAAGGTTGACTCAGCTTTCCATCTTTCCGAGATCTGTCAAACAAGGATCCAGATTGTTGGGGGCAGTATGCTGATATTGTAAACCACTTAGAGAGTGTTGTAAATTACTGTGGAGCGGTATATAAATCTTAAGTGATATTGCTATTTTTTTTTTTTAATGGCTATCAGAGAGCAGTCCTCTGTCTGAAGGTATTATCTGTTTGTAGGGACTGTCTGGCTTGGATTTAATCCCAGTTTAGGTAGAAGACCATGAAAAGAGAGAATAATATTCCTGGTGTCCAGCAATTAGTATTTGGTCAGCAGCAGACAAATAGGTAGTTGTGAAGCTTGGCTCACATATTCCAAGTTATGATTTCTTAATCACAATTTGTGGAATGCATCAGGATTAGTTGGATTCATGCTCATCATAAAACACAAAACACAACAGGGATGACATGTTAGACCAGGTCAGCAACCTGTGGCTCTGGAGCCGCATGTGGCTCTTTCACCCCTCTGCTGCAGTTCCCTGTCACTCAAAATACGTGTCACAACCGTCAATGTGTGACACCCACCGACACACGATTTATTGAGCTTTTAAACCCCTGGTAGGCCAACCATGGATAAATCCAAGAAAAGAAAAGAAAACAGAAGAAAGAAAGAACATTTAATTCAATTACATATGCTAGTTTTGTGGCCGCTCAAGAAATAGTCAGGCATGGGAAGGGTTTTGTGGCTTCCGGTGTTTTCTTTTCTGTGGGAAACCGGTCCAAATGGCTCTTTGAGTGTTTAAGGTTGCAGACCCCTGTGTTAGACAACCCTGAATCAACAGTGTTGTTTTATAGTGCAGGATAAGGTATTCAATTACTTTATACTACACTTAGCACTCAGGTACAGCCTAGGTAAATTGGTGCTTTATCTGTTCTCCTTTGATGTATAAATGACGGCCCTAAAGTGGGTGTTACATTCCAGTTTGGGATATGTTATGTTTTTGTTTATAATCCCAATTCAAAATTTCAATTAATTATAATTCAAGTTTGATTTATAACTGCCAAGTTTGTTGCAAACAGCCAGCTTTTAAACTTGATTTTCTTTAATAAAGCTCTGCCTTCATGCTGCATAGTAAACAGTTCTGATAGGCAGAGGACTTTCAAAAGTAGTCTTTGATATGGCACCAAGTTGATAATTTAAAAGGAAAAATAATTCTAATATAATTCCATGTCTTTTTCCGCCTCCCCCTTTAGTTGCTGGCTTTAAATTTAGCATGCTACGTATCTTTGTTTTGCTATAAAATGTTTACTTTTCTACATTTTGGGAGCCCTTTAATGGGATATAGTGCAAATACTGGTCTCAACTGCTCAAGTATCCAGGGCAGAGATGAGTTTGTATTTCTTTCATAATAAATTTGATAAATTTGCATCTTACTTTCGGTAGGGGGAGATAGTGATGCTTTATTTATATTGCAGCCATTATTTCTGCCACTTTATACATTGAATTAGGAAAATATAATTATAAGAAATAAATTATTAAGCTACTTCAGTGGTGAAATCCAATTTTTTTTTACTACCGGTTCTGTGGATGTGGCTTGGTGGGCATGGCAGGGGAAGGATACTGCAAAATCCCCATTCCCACCCCTCTCCAGGGGGAAGGATATTGCAAAATCCCCATTCCCACCCCACTCTGGGGCCAGCCAGAAGTGGTATTTGCCGGTTCTCCAAACTGCTCAAAATTTCCGCTACTGGTTCTCCAGAACCTGTAAGAACCTGGTGGATTTCACCCCTGAGCTACTTCCATTATTGGAGTTCCCTGATGTTTGCATTTATTTTAGAAAAATGTTTGATTAACCTTTGGTAAATTTCCCATTCATGAAAGCAATAAATCACTGGTATGAGTCAATTTATTTTTTTTGTTCTAGATTTGATGTGACTGAATCTGAAATAGCGATAATGATGATGCTTTTGTTATCCTCATTTGGTGGAACAAGAATATGGGACACAAAGGTAAGTCAATATACCTACAATTTGAATATATGTTCATATCTCTGAAAAATTGATATTAAGTGATTCTTTCTAATTCTTTGCATTTTGTTGAACATTGATTTTTCCTCCCTTTTAAAAATAGGATATTTTTAAATGTTTATTGTAACTTAACTTTTCCCATGTGGTCCAAGTATATGATCACTTCTGCATTTGTAATGTGCTTTCCAGTGCATGGGTTTAAAACTACAGAAAGGAAAAAGACTCCATATGCTATAATTAAAGTTTGTATTAAATCACTGCAATTATTTAAACATATGATGTTCCATAATACTTCCAGTTCTGCATACATTATTACCTACGTGTTGCCAGCTGACCGTTGTTGTTAGTCAATATCCATGTAGCATTCAGAAGTGTACCGAATTTATTGCTATAAGTCAGGGGTGTCAAACTCAATTTCATTGAAGGCCGCATCAGGGTTGTGTTTGACCTTAGGGGGCCAAAGTGGGCATGGCCAGGGTGGGTATGGCTAGCTCGATGTCACTTGTGTCAGGGCAGTGGTGAAATCTAAAATTTGTTACTACTGGTTCTGTGGGCGTGGCTTGGTGGGGGGTAATGTGACTGGGTGGGCGTGGCCAATTTTTTTTTTTTTTACTTTTAAAACCATTTTTTCTACAACCTCTTTAGCGCAGAGGTTGTTAAAAAATGCTTTCAAAAGGCTCTGACGATCACAGCTGAGTTGCCTGGCAACTCAGCTGGGATCGTCAGAGACATTTAAAAGAAAAAAAGGGTTTTTTTCTTTTAAAAGCCTTTGAAGATCCCAGCTGAGCCACGCGATCATCAGAGAGGTTGTAGAAAAAATACTTTTAAAAGTAAAAAAAAAAAGTCTCTGATGATTGTGCGGCTCAGCTGGGCATGGGAGGGGAGGCAGGGATTTTTGCTACTGGTTCTCCGAACCACCCGCCTCCATCGCTACTAAATCGGGTGATCCGGTCCGAACCAGGAGCATTTCACCCCTGTGTCAGGGGCACCTGTGATGGCCAGAATGCTCTGCCAGTGGAAACAGGCTCCCGAGCTCCGTTTTCAGCTGTGATAGCCTCCTGCAACCCTCTGCCAGCAAAAATGGAGCTTGTGAGGGCCTCACAAGCTCTGTTTTCACTGGCAGGGACACCGTGGGCTGGTCCTTTGCTGTTTCCAGGGCCGGCCCTTGGGCCAGATCTAAGCACTCCGCAAGCCAGATCTGGTCCCCGGGCCATGAGTCTGTTCCCCCTGCTATAATTCAACAGGATGTATCACCCTTTTATTTTCTGAAAACCTCAGAGTAAATTATGCTCCTGCTTTCAGAGCTGGACTATTTTTTACCAATATGGTAGGGTTTAGATTTACAGACAGTAATAAGAGAACTACTATTCAAAGGAGGCATGAGCTAGGATGACCTCTTGAAAATTTTGACAATTCTGTCCACTAGATATGATTTTCTCAGGTTGGGTAAATCTGATTTTTTTTTTTTTTTTTTTAATGGTGATATCTCAGCCTGCCTGGACTTTTCAGTCATTTAGAAATCCAGCAGAGTGAATAAAAAAAATATTAACTGCATTGTAAGACAATAACAAAACCACTGCACAAGTATTTATATAGTTACAGTATACACTTTCAACAGGTTACATTTATAAACATTTGAACAATTTGTAAGCAACACTTGGCTGGCTTTACTCTTGAAACTGATTTAATGTTCTCGCCTGCTTGAATTATTGAATATCTGCATGAAACAAATTCAGCATTCAAGTGTTATTACTGAAACTTTTTAAGTTTTCCTTTGGAAATGATTTTTTTTCCTCCCTGAAGCTATAGTAGACAGCTAAACTACTCAATTTAAATCATCTTCACCATGCAAGTTATTTTATTGGAGTAATGGATAAGATACAGTAATCTTGGAAATAACACCTTAGGCAACTTTATATTCTAAAATGTAACCTACTTGGTTACATGATTCATTTATTTTGCTTTTCTTTTTAACCTTGTGCTGCCTCTTGGAAGTTTCCTTCAAACTACAGTTGAATAAGAAAGGTAAATATTGATGCTAAGTTGTATTAGCTAGAGTATATCGATAATATGGTATGATCTAAGCAAAATGGGCAGATGATATTTGCATTTCCCATGATGTTTACCTCTGAATAGATCAGGGAACCTGAAGGAACTATTCATTTTCTGGAAATGTACTTGATGGTATGTAGGTAGTTACACATTCAGCAACCATTCAAATTTTCAGTGATCTTACAATTCCACTGAACAAGGGGACTTGAGAGCAGTCCTTGTAGTTGTAACCATCACAGCATCCCTGTAATCGCAACTGCAATTCGGGCACAATTGCTGAAGCATCCCATGGTCACGTGGTCGTAGGTTCTAACCTTTAATGCCAGCTTCTGACAAGCAGAGTTAAAGGAGAAGGTGGCAGGAAGTTGCAAAAGGGGATTGTGTGACATTGTGTCCTAATGACTGCAAGGGATTCGCTTAAACAACAGCAACTGGAAACTCTTCAAATTGTCGTTGTAAATCGGAACAGTCGTGTAACGTTGCCCTTTTATCTATGCCTCATTTAGCAACAGAGCTGCTGCTCTCAATTACTGTTGTTAAGCAAAGACTACCTCTATACCAGTGTTTCTCAACCTTGGAAGCTTGAAGATGGGTGGACTTCAACTCGCAGAATCCCCCAGCCAGCGCTGCTGGCTGGGGGATTCTGGGAGTTGAAGTCCACCCATCTTCAAGCTACAAAGATTGAGAAACACTGCTCTATACTAAGCTATACAATCAGTTCAAGTTGCTTAAGAATGTTTTTTTTTTCTTGATTCCAAATTCTATGTCATATAGAATAGAATAGTGCCCGTGTGTCCCGTCCTTCAATCATAATCTGGGATTGCTAACAGAATTTTTGGACGTGAGTGGCATTTGCTTATAAGTGAAGGAAAATGGATAGTTCAGATAAATTGCTAAGTTTCAATAGTTGTGGAAAGTTTTAAACCTTTTAAATGATCATTTTCTTTACAAGATCCCTCTGCTCGAACTAGAGCTGAAGACATTACCTATTGTCGTCGTAGTGTGTGGGACAGTATTTTCAAGTTATAATTATTTCCGAGTAATCCTTGGAGGAGGTGTGGGGAAGAATGGATCCACAATAGCAGTAAGTATTTGTAAGATGTTAATTGTTGGGTTAGTGCAAATTTTAATTAATGTTAATGCTAATGCAAATAGTTTTTGAGTGCTATTTTGTGTACTCGGTTTTATAAAGCCTTAAATCCAATATTCTGTTCTGCCCCAGCTACGGACCCCAAAGAACGCAGCACACACAAAGCCCGTTCAAACCTTACTTTACTGAATAAACCAGTCTTTTACAACAATGGCTGTTAATTAATTGCATTAACAGCCGCCAAGAATTCAAAGAATAATAACTGAAAGCTTATTATGGTTGGCAGAATACCCAGAAGCAATTTGCAGGAAGCTGATAAAATAAGCAAGACAAGACACAAAGGTATGTGAATTAAGTTGTTCCCTGCAAATTGCTTCAGTCGGCGTTCCTCCTTAAATAGGTTAAGGGAGTGGCCAATTAGCCCCAAGCCTTACTCTCGAGGAGACCTCCTCCTGAGGAGCCACTCCTGCCTTTTGGCAGCTCTGCATGCCCGTGCATCAAGAAGAGGCTCCTCCTCTTCATCCTCTTCACTTAAGGGAGCTTCTGGAGGTTCTGAAGGCCTTGGCTGAATCCCTGCTTCTGGCACCACATCTTCTCCAGCCTCCTCATTGTCTGACTTGAGTGCCAGCTGCACAGGTTGCTGGCGCAGCACCACACCAGCCTCCTCGCTGTTGAATCAGCTACTGGCTGCACAAGCCACGTACGGGCCACAATATATTCACTCTGAAATGTACTAATAAAATTATGGTATAGCTTGAATTGCTCTATAGCATCATATTACAAAGAAGTGGAAAGGAGATAATACAGCAGCTATGAAGTTTCTAGATCAGATTGTTTAGTTCTTAAGTATCTGTGGAATTTTTGCTCACTCTTGCTAAGAGTTTTCAAAGAAGAGCCAATCAAGCAATTTATAAAGCAATTTGATACACCTTTTTCCACTTCTACCTGATGCAAAAACCAAAATCCTCTTTAAAGGCGTTGGTGAACTATTGGGACACACTAGCTTTTACTCTTCATGACAAAATTAAACTTTCTGCAACCACCACTTGTTCAGCAATTGTTCAGAGAGATAGTGGTGATGAACATGGCGGTGGATCCAGGAAAGCTCCCTGGTTTACCGAGGAGCTCCAGGAGATGAAGCGCCAGAAGAGACGTCTAGAGCAACGCTGGAGGACCAGTAACTCCGAATCTGACCGAATACTCTTAAGAGCCTTTATTAGGACTTATTTAGTGGCAATATGGGCGGCAAAATGCTTGCATTTTTCTGCACTTATTGCATCCGCTGATTCGTACCCAGCTGCCCTATTTAGGGTGACTCGCTCCCTCCTTAATGTAGGGGGAGTGGAGGAGCCCTTTCAGGGCAGAGCTGAGGAGTTTGTGCAGTTTCTGTCAGATAAAGTCGCTCAAATTCAGATGGATCTGGACTCTGATTGGGCAATTCCGATTGAGAAACTGCTTTGGTCACGCTGATGGATGATCTCTGGCGAGCCCGAGATGGGGGTCATTCCTCCATCTTAGTGCTACTTGACCTCTCAGCGGCTTTCGATACCATTGACCATGGTATCCATCTGGGATGACTAAGGGAGCTGGGAGCGGGAGGCAACATGTTACGGTGGTTCTCCTATCTCTCTGGTCGGTCACAGTCAGTGTTGGTACGAGGACAGAGGTCAACCTCTAGGCCCCTCGTTTGCTGGGTGCCTCAGGGCTCGGTCCTCTCTCCCCTGCTATTTAACATCTACATGAAGCCGCTGGGTGAGATCATCCGACGACACGGAGTGAGGTATCAGCAATACACGGGTGATACCCAGCTGTATATCTCTACCCCACGTCAATTCAGTGATGCGGTTGATGTGATGTGCCGGTGCCTGGAGGCTGTGGGAGTCAACAGGCTCAGACTTAACCCAGACAAGACCGAGTGGCTGTGGGTATGGCCTCCTAAAGACTATGTTGATTGTCCATCCTTGGTTCTGGGGGGTGGAGAAATTGTCCCCCTCAGAACGGGCTCGCAGTTTGGGTGTCCTCCTAGACTCACAGCTAAGATTAGAGCAACATCTGACAGCTATGACTAGGGGGACCTTTGCACAGGTTTGCCTGGTGCACCAATTGCGACCCTACTTGGATCAGGAGGCTCTTCTCACAGTCACCCATGCCCTTGTCACCTCACGGTTAGATTATTGCAACACGCTCTACATGGGGCTACCCTTGAAAAGTGTTCAGAGACTAGTTGGTCCAGAACGCAGCCGCGCGAGCTGTCTTGGTTGCACCTAGATACACCCACATTACACCAATTCTCTGCGAGCTGCACTGGCTCCCTATTGGTCTCTGGTCACAATTCAAGGTGTTGGTTATTACCTTTAAAGCCCTACATGGCTCAGGGCCAGGTTATCTTCGCGACCGCCTTCTGCCACATAGCTCCCAGCGACCGGTAAGATCCCACAGAGTTGGTCTCCTCAGGGTTCCGTCAGCTAAACAATGCCGGCTGGTGGGCCCACAGGGGAGGGCCTTCTCTGTGGCTGCCCCAGCTCTCTGGAACCAGTTATCTCCTGAGGTCTGGACTATCCCCACCCTATTGGCCTTCCGAAAAGCAGTGAAGACCTGGCTTTTCCGGCAGGCCTGGGCCATTGATCTCACAATTGTGATCTGGCAAGATCCGGCTATGAATGGCATGAATGAGTTTTTAATGTTTTTAAAGTTTTTAATTTTTAAATGTTTTTTTTATAATGATTTTTAAAATGTATTGTGAGCCACCCTGAGTCTTCGGAGAGGGGCGGCATATAAATTAAATTAAATTAAATTAAATTAAATTAAATTAAATTAAATTAAATTAAATTAAATTAAATTAAATTAAATTAAATTAAATTAAATTAAATTAAATTAAATTAAATTAAATTAAATTAAATTAAATTAAATTATAAATTAAGTTAAATTATAAATTAAGTTAAATTAAATTAATTAAATTAAATTAAATTAAATTAAATAATTAAATTAAATTAAATGAATTAAATTAAATGAATTTACAACCATCCTCAGAGTTCTGGTTGTTATGCTGTCCTCACAGTCATGTGATCATAACTCAAGGGCTTGGTTACCTGGTTCATGATTACATAATCACAACCAGCCACACTCACATGTTCTCCATTTGCAGTCTTTCTTGCCTGCTTCCCACAAGCAAATCAATGGGAAACTAGCAGAAGGTTGCAAGTCGCACCTGTAAGTCACGTCTGATGATTTTTCTCACGGATATGTATCATCACTATAGATCATGAATGGCCTGTGAGGGCTGCTCTGTAACAACCCCCATCTGCCTATTCTGTGTAACAGTCCCCAAAGGCTTGGCCATGATCCATAACACCAGCCCACATGCCTGCCTGCATCCCCCACTAGACTGTCTGTATTCAGAAGCACCTGTCCGCAGCCTTTGCTGGCCTACTTACATTGAGATGTATCCCTCTGTAGCACTCATCCACCTACCTGCCGCTTTCACCTGTCAGGTTGCTTGCCTAAGACTTGGGTCATTTGAGGTCTTCTCTTAATGACCCTCACAGTCTCTTGGTTATGATGGCAAACAGGATGCAGTCACATGATGCTTTGATTTAGGAATACATTGCTTAATGGTGGAAATTCTGGTCCCAATTGCCATTATAAGCTTGCCCCCTACATTTCTTAGGAGTCAAACTGTTATGGGAGGTCCTCCAGCTGGCTCTAAAAGCATTTGGTAGCTTCAAATGGTGAAAAAAGCTACAATCTCATCTTCCAGTTTGAAGAGATTATCCATTAAATTCTGGATGAATTCAAAATTCTGTCCCAAAGGTGCTTTTTCAAGAGGCAACTGGACTTTCTGGTTTTTGTTTGAAGATGTTTCGTTTCTCAGCCAAGAAGCTTCTTGGAAGAAGCAAAACATCTTCAAAGAAAAACCAGAAAGTCCAGTTGCCTCTTGAAAAAGCATCTTTGGGGTAAACATAACCCGGATGACTGAAAATCTCCATAGACATTCAAAATTCTGGTTTAATAGTTAAAGGTCTAAATCATAGAATAGGGCAGATTTCTTCCATATGTTTCTTCCTACATGCACTTTTTTTGTAAAAATAGATTTGATTCTAATTCAGTAGATCATATCGTTTTGTAGTTTCTTGGGGTGATTACATTTTTGGTATTGCTAATTATTTTGTAATTTATCTGCTATATTTTAACATCTACTATTACTATTACTATTATCTGTTATATTTTAACATCTACTATTACTATTATTGAGCTATAGAGAGAAATAACAGAACATACCTTACTAAAAAAATACATAAATGTCTTTATGTATTTCAGGGAACAAGTGTTTTATCTCCAGGCCTCCACATTGGTCTAATTATTACTTTGGCAATAATGATCTACAAAAAATCCCCAACTCAACTGTTTGAAAACCATCCTTGTCTGTATGCCTTAACTTTTGGATTTGTGTGCGCAAAAATTACACAAAAATTGGTGGTAAAACATTCTTGATATTTCCTATATATATAAAATGTTTAGCTGATGTAAGCCAAATATTTTAACATATTAAAGAATGCTACAAATCAAGTTTAATGTGATATTAATAAAAAATGTCAAACGAATACTGTAGTTTGATGCATATTCACCAAGAAAACAGACCTTTTGAGTTCAGTCGAGTTTATTTCCAAGTTAGTGTGATTAGGATTGTACCTAATGTGGGCAAATTGAACATATGTTTCTTAAAAATTACCTAGATATCTAGAATATGATCGTATATACATTCAAGTTAAAAAGTGGACACTTACTACAAATTATGGTTTATTAAGACAAACAAAACAACAAATAGTTTCATGGTACTTTTTTACCAAAGCAAATGCCTGCAAAACAATACAGTTTCAGATTTAATTATTAAGGCCATATTTACCAGAAAGTCCACTGGACATCAAGATGAACTAGAAAGTATGTATTTACTCCATGTAAATTTAGTTTTAATAAACATTGAATATATATTGTATATTACAATTCCTCTTTTACATCAAGTTTATTAAAGTCTGTATCTGTGATTAAGTAAGGAATGCCACTACGAGCAGACAAAATCTGTTCAATATTTTTGTAGTTTTTTTTGTTATTAAGAAGTGAATTCTTCCTAATTTTACTAAATGTATATTTTAGAACAATTTGAATAGTTTTTTATTTTATAGCATTCTAACGTCTCCCATAAGAGTTGATAGTACATTTACAGTGCAAAAGGTTAAATGGGATCTAAAGTCTTAATTTAGTAGATAATCTAATTTTTGTTTATAGGTAGCACACATGACAAAAAGTGAGATCTTACTTCAAGACACAGCATTCATTGGGCCAGGCCTCTTATTTCTAAACCAGTACTTCAGTTGTTTTATTGATGAATATATTGTTTTATGGATAGCATTGGTAAGTAAATGTATTGTGTTTTTATGTAATTAAGATTACACATAATGATTGGTTACTTGAATTTTGAGTGGATTGTCTAAGTTATAAATCAAGAATTGAAAGGTATTTTAAAAACTGAAACATACCAACGTGGTTGGAGAGACAATTTTGTAAGAATTTTAGAAATGTCCTTAACAAAGAAGGTACAAAGACATATAGTAGCTTTATTTGCAACAAGGCATCTTGATGAAGAAAAGACAAAGATGTTTGTGCTCTCAAGTAATGGATAGTGATTCTTTCATAGGCAATAGAGGAAAAGAAAATGTAGAATTAATCTATTAATTAATCTACCTTGAAAACGTGAATCCCTTGTCTTAAAATAGCCTCCTCAAAATATATACTCTTATGAAGAAAATAAGTTGTCATTCCTTATCTGTCCAAACAATGCTAAAGTTTATCCAAAGTAATCTAGATTTAGCTAAAATGAGGTCCTGAAGAAGAATTGGATCATACTGAAACATTAAATAAAATCAAAATTTTAAAAAAATCTTTAAATGTCTTTTTAAAAGACATCAAAATGACACCATAATAATAAACTAAAAGAATCACATTACTACTGAAAGTGATTATGAGTTGTCAGCGTAGTCATTAAAGGATGAATGATAGATGTTGATAGTGTGGGATCACTGGGATAGGAAACCCAATATATTTATAATATTCCTAGAAACTCTATGCAATGAAGCATAATTATCCAAACATATATAGGAAAAACTAACTAGAAGATAGGTTAAATAAGAATACAATTAACATTCATCCTTTCCAATTGCCAGAAAAACTGGCATTCATAACAGCCTTATTGAAATACAACAAATATTTCACCTTTGAGTGGATCTCAACTATTATAAATGGCAAAAGAATAAGTGAAGTCTTCTTTCTATAAAGTCATTTCTATAACTCAGTGGGGATGGAGTTTCTATCTGAGGAGAAATCTGGCACCAGCAAAAAGATGCATTGAAAAAGAAGCTAAGTTAATTTGACCAGGAACCAGTTGTTTTCCTTAAATAGGTTACTGGTGAAAAAAGTTAACATGTATCAGACACTAGACTCGTAACTTTTTGAACATAAAGAAATTATCCAGCTGTTATTTGAGGAAATGTTTGCAGAAATTCTATTATACTATTAGATGATATGAAAAAACTCATGAAAATGAATTATTTTTCCTAATTTCTCAAAGAGGATAAAGACAGGCTAGTCTCATATTTTTTCGTATAATCTGTATATTACCATTTTACATTTATACTGATCAATGTGCTTTTCAGCCATAGACCACATTCTCTTTGTCTTCCATCTAAATTCAGCTTGAACCTGCTTAACTTTAGAGCTTGTTTGTTTATTGCAGCCAAGAGGAGTTCTACAGGCTTTCTTGTCTTTAGGAATACCCTTAAGCTGTTTTCCAGACTCTTTTATGGGAAAAAAAGTAAGGGGAAAGGTAGAACATAACTGAAGAGAGAAAAAAGACTTGCACCATATGATGATTTAGGATTTACTGTTAACAACTGTCAGTATGGATTAATGTTTCCATTCATAAAATGCATTGCTTCCAAATGTATAGGTTTTATGGGATTGAAATGAACCATTGTATTTGCATTTATTAATTCAATACCAACTCAGAAGGGGAGGCAACCATTGCCTTTTCTTTTTCATTCATTCCTCTGTAATTTACTGGATGCACAATTAGAATTCTCTCTTCCTGGGGGATGGAAAGGAGAGAAAGTTAAAGTTCTGGAGAAAGACATATTTTCTATAATTGTACAGAACAGTAAAATATTAAAAAATACTGCAATTCTTACTTGATTGGTAACTTTTTTCAATTGGCTTTATATGAGTTTAAATTATCTCTATACCCAATAGTAGGAAGATAAAAGGAAGAATTCTGTTGTATGCAATAGTTGCTGTAATAATAATTTGTAAGCATTTTCCCCCCTTCTTCTTCTTTAGTTCATCTCGTCGTTTGATTTGCTGAGATACTTTACTGGAATATGCATACAGATTGCTGATCACCTTCACATACAAGTCTTCAAGCTCTCCCCTCCTCAACCTCTTGAACAGGTTCAGAATCATAATGAGTGACTTATAATTAAATGTGAAAAGAAGAAGTAGGGAGAAATCTTGAATTATGGAAAATATTGGTTTTTAAAGAAATATAAACCTGAAGGCTTTTAAGAAAACCAAATATATGAAGGAGTTCATAAAATTTCGAATTATACTCAGAAGCTTTTGTTAAAAAAATAACTAATCCCTGCGTAAATTCTTTGTTTGTATATACTTATGGTTGAAAGTCTAATGTAGGTAATCACTAGCACGGACTATTCCATGAATGAATTTGACTTTTTAGGAGAGTAAATTTACCATTAGTATATAGAACAAAAATAGCATAATAACTTATTGAACATTCTGTAATGTCCTGAGCTTTCAAGAAATTGGCTAAAAATTTAACCAATGTAGTTAAAGGAATCAGTGATTAAAAGAATATGGTATTCTTTTCAGGCTGTACAAAATATAGTTTGCAGTTTTGACTTTCAGTTAAGGTGTGTGGTAATATTTAAACCAGTGGTGGGTTGCTACCAGTTCGCACCGGTTTGGGAGGACCAGTTTCAATAAATTGGCGAAGGTCGTAGAACCAGTATTAATGGCTGGCTGGCCACGTCCCCGAACCGGTCCCCCAGTCACCGCCCCACCCAGTCACTTTCTTTTCCTCCTCACCACCACCCAGGCAGCTTGCCTGCCTAAGCTGCCTTCCCACGTGGTGCCTGCCCTGTGCCCCAAGTGAGCTGCCTCCTCCTGCCTATAGGTAAGTCACGCTAGCCCCCCCTCCTGAGTATGCTGCGCCACCACCACCCAGGCTTGCAATCTTACCTTCCCTGTCCCTTACAGGGGTCCCCCCTGCGCCTTGTTTTGGTTCCCAGGGGCTGCAGGGAGGCTTGCTAAGGCCAAAATGGGGTGCTGGGGGTGCCTAGCAAGACTCCCTGCAGCCCCCTGGAAGCAAAAACGGGCTGCGGGGTGGGGGTGGGCTTCAAGGGAGAAAAAAACAAAGAAATCCTCACTGTTTGGGGATCCCCACGTGCACTGAGTTTGAGTTGAGAGCTTATTGTAAGTGGCTGCTAGCTATCCTTGCTCAGGCTAAGCTAATCAATAGTGGAGCTCTAAGAATGCCAGATGATCAATGGGCATGTTCTGAGTTTCAAAACATTTGGCTTTTCTTCCTTCTACAAAAAACCTTCTGGGGTTCTTCACAGAAAGGGAGAAAGGAGAAAGAGAGGGAGAAAAAAAGAGAGAGAAGAAAGAAAGAGAGAAAGAAAGAGAAAGAAAAAGGAAGGGAGAGAGAGAACACAGGTATCTCTTAATAGAAGCTTGAACTTGCCTGAAATTAGATTAAGCCCTAGATCACTTAACCCAATGTATCAGATTAAATTGTTATTGAATTATTTTTGGAATATATACTATATTATCTTGTGTAATTTAGTTACAGTGTAAAACTAGTCCATTATGTCTCAAAATAAAAGGGAGATCAAGAATTCAATTAGTGGCATGTAAATTCTGGAATCCCCAAAGACCTTTCCCATTGTATTTATTAAACAAATTTATATAGCTACCCAACTCATATACAGTGACTTTATCACATTTGTGTTACTTTCATGTAGTTCTCAATGTGTCAAATCTCCTTGCTACTCTTATTTCTTCCACCAAAATTCTATTATAAATAATATTACCACACATTACAGCTCTAATTTTGTGTATTTGTGCCAGTAATTTTCAGAAAAAGATTTATTCCTCTCTTACATACTTATTTAGAAGAAACTTCATATGTCAGTTTATTTTTACCATTAAAAATGTTTTGTTGCATTATATGACTGCAAAAGCCTTTTAGCAGTTTCATGTAACAGGAAATATCCAGTAACAATTTTGAAAGTAGTTGTCATAGTCAAAAACACCCTCCTCCCAAAAAGACAGAGAAAGAGAAAGAGAGAAGGAAAGAGGAAGGAAGGGAGAGAGAAAAAAAACTCTGTGCTATTATTTTTAATTGTTCCATTATTTATCATGTGTTAATATTTTACACTGTCTCTACACCTAGAGTGATTTTACTGCCTTTCTTTTGCCCAGGGCTACCACATATTTTTCAGGGTTTTACATGCATTCAATGTCTGTAGTCCAGAGCATAAATGTGTGTGTTTATTTTGTACATCAGGTTGCATAAGTCCATCTTAATATGCTATTCCTGGTATGTGATGTTTTGTATACATAGAGAGAAAGAAGCACTCTTGTGATCTTTTGACTTTTACGCTTGCTATCAAACATCAGCCATAATACTAATTACTGTTTTGAACAATATGCATGAATGGCTATTTTATATGTGAAATTATGACTGAAATATTTCTGCACCTATATTGGTTCTCACTGTCAGGAAGTTTCTCCTTAGTTTTAGGAGAAAAATTAACTTCTCTCTTTTTTCAGTTTCCATCCATTGCTTCTTGTTTTGCCTTCTAGTGCTTTGGAAAATACATTGCCTATACCCATGATGGCGAACCTGTGGCACGCGTAGCCATATCAGTGGGCACGCCAGCTCAGCTCTGGAGCACATGCGCGCGCTGGCCAGCTGATTTTCGGGCCATCAGGGCCCACCAGAAGTAGGGAAACAGCCTGTTTCCTGCCTCTGGAGGGCCTGGGGGTGGGTGGGGAAGGCCCATTTTTCTTTCTTACCTGGCTCCAGATCCTCTCTCTGCATCTGCGGAGGGTGAAAACAGCCTTTCCCACTCCCTTGGAGGTCCTCCAAAGGCCTGAAACGGCCCATTTCCCAACTCCCGGTGGGACAGGAAGTGATGTTTTTTGCTGTCCCCAGCCTCCAGAGTCCCACCGGGAGTTGGGAAATGGGCCCTTTCAGGCATCTGAAGGAGTGGGAAAAACTCTTTTCACCCTTTCCAGATGCATAGAGAGGATCTGGAGCCAGGTAAGAAAGAAAAACGGGCCTACTGGGCCATCACGTGCTAGGAGTGGCCGGTGGGGGGGTTGCACACACATGTGCAGGGCAGGGCTCATAGAATTATGGGTGTGGGCACCCGCACACATGAACCCCCACCCCCACCTGGCACGAGATGGCAAAAAGGTTAGCCATCACTGGCCTATACATTCTTTCTGGCAGCCCCTAAAAAGCCTGTTGCCTATCACACTCTTGGGCAAAGCATATGAGCCATTTCCTCCTTTCAGTGGTCCATGAAAGTACATCTATAGTATGTAGATAATAAAGTTGAAAAAAGGTGAACAACATTTTTACAGAACTATAGATACGTCGAGGCTGGGTGTGACAAGGAATGGCTGGGAGGGGCCAGGCGAGGGACCCCTTGACGTGAGTGACATTGAGTTGGCCATGCCCACCCAGTCACATGACCATGAAGCCACTCCCACTGTCACATGACCAAGCCACGCCCACAGAACCGGTGGTAAAAAATGTTAGAACCCATCCCTGATTTAAACATTTTCCTCCTCTGGCATCTGACACTTTCCCCCTAAACTGTAGTTCTCAGCTTACAATGGCAATTGGGACCTGAATTCCCATCATTAAACAATACAGTCATAAAGCACAACATCAATCGTCACTTAACAACAGCAGTCGCAGCTGGCATTGCTAAATTGCATTGGCTGCAATTTTTGACCAGTTTCCCAATTGACTTTACTTGTGGGAAGCTGGCAGGGAACATCAAAAATCATGATCATGTGATCAGAGATGCTGCAATGGATAGAAGTATAAGGAGCCATCTTAAGTACCATTTGTTCACTGCCATTGCAACTTTGAACGGTTGCTGAATGAATGGTCATAACCCAAGGATTATCAGCATTTGTTTTTCATAGGATGAAAATACAGGATTAGATGCCCTATTTTGCTAGTTGCAAATTGTAACTTCCCAGGCAGCTGTTCATAAAAAAGAAGATTTGGGACTGGTGTGGGAAGATTAACAACTGCAACGGAGTCTTGGATATAAAATAAAATGAAATCAATCTTTTTAAAAATGTGAAGCCATTCCATTTTTGAGCACAAAATAATCTGGTCCATTACATTTAAAACAACAAAAAACATATATTTTCATTTATACAAATGTGTTACAAATACATTGGGATTATATACCTTCATTTTTTAATATAATATATACATTAACATTTTTGAAAATTATTTTGCATAGCCAGCAATAAGTGCTCTTCCTTTTGAATGTTTATGTCTCTAGAAAAACTTACAACCAGTTCTTTTCCTTGTATTGTTCAATGATAGTTTGTTTTTCATGCAACCCTGAGGGGTTTGTTAATTTATGAATTTATCTTTCAAAAAATATTCTTAGGTTATGGAAAGCAAATATAATGATGTAGAAGCCATAACTAAACACATTTAATAGACATTACGCTTGATTTCAAAAAATGTGTTTCATCTTAGTTTTGACACTGTATAATAAAAAATAGTTGTAGGTTCAGTCAGGATAGTTTGATTCTTTTTAAAATATTGCTTTCTGATTTAAAAAAAATTTTTTTTGCTGGTTTCTATTGCACACTTTCATAAGAGAATCAATTCCAAGTGGCCACTGCTTATATATTAAGTAAAAAAAATGCCAATCTACATCACTAATTATTATAACATCTCTAGAAATTAGAAAACCCAATAGAATTATAAGAATAATCTATTACCTTGAGTTTTAAATGAAGTATACATAAAAAAGCCTCATAAGCTATCTATATAAAAATCACATTTGCAGATTCAGTTGAATAACTGCCATTGTGCAACCATGGTGAATTCTATATAGAAAATCATGATGCCACTTAATGCAGTGGCATCATAATAATTAGTAAGTGCCAAATCTTAATATTTAAATATAATCAAATATTTCAAGCAAATTTTGGTGAAAAATGGAAGAAATGTAATACTTGATATTTTTTTAAAAAAATCAAACACAATTCTAAATTGCTTAACTATTCCATAACTGTGTAAATACTGTGTCTGTAATGTTTAACTGTTTTTAGAACTATGAAAATGTAAATTACCTTTTCAAATTTTGATTCATAAACTCATTGAATCAATCTTTTAGTATTTCAGTTAATGATAAGAAACATTTCAGCTGGAATTTAATGCTTTCTTACTCTCTATTCAATAATCACTCCAATGGTACTTTAAGAGTTTTTAATTTAATTACATAAACTAGTATTTTCAAAACACTAGGTTTGATGTATCAATTTATTAGCCCATAACTTTTCTTTCAAATAGTACATATTAATACCTTTAAATTATTACAGTACTAAATCTGGAAAACATATATTATAATATTTTACCCATATGATAGTAAAAAATTTGTAAACAGTATTGTTCAATTCTTATGTTAAAGCACTTTACTTCTAATGTGTGTAATGCAAAAAAATCCCTAGTTTTTAGGATTTTTTCATTTTGACTTGAATTTCCAATTCAGCTAATGGACTTTTGTAACCAGTGTGCCTAACTAGGGATAAGTCTACAGTATAGGTATTTTGAAGTTTACAAATACTATCATAACCCAGGCATTTACATTTGTAATTTGAAAATGAAGGAAAAAAGTATGTTAAGATAAAAGAATCATATTGTGAAAATGGAAAAAACAGTAATTGTTTTTATTACTTGTGGATTTCTCTTGTAACAATGAAGAGTATTCAGACACATGTAATTTTTAACATGGAATGTGAAACAGTCTCTTTTTTCTCCTCACAATGGCTAATGTGTATAATTGTATCATGTTATTTAGGTACAAGTTGTTTCTCCATTGAACCATCAGTATAACATGGACTGAAGAGATTTGCGAACAGTTGCCATCTCTTGCTGTTGCTGTTATGAGAAAGAAAGAAAAATATATTGATCAAATGCAACATTTTGTACTCTTAGCTGGTGAATTATAAACAATGTTTATTTTTTCTATTTAAGTTGTGGAAGTTTTCATAAATCAGTATTAATACTTACTGTGTCCATCATGATTTTCTTTTGCCACATGGACATTTCTTTGCGAAGTTCACTTTGTGCCCCTGCTAAAAGACTTTCATGAGTCTTTTCCATGTCTTCCATACTCTAAAATTAGAATTCATTTTCATGACAACTGGATAATAATTCACATCAAGAAATCTCTTGCATTTGTAAAGTCAAAATATAGACTAAACCCTCAAAATGCTTAGTATTTTGAGAAGCATAATCTCGTAAATATGGGACATGTTAACTTTAGCAAGATAATAGAAAAATCACTACATGCAACATTTATGTAATATATGAAGGAAGTTTGAAAGTGGAATATAGTTGAGATGATACATATTACATAAGAAATTTGTCCAGGAATAAAAATGGGATGTTCAATAACATTATCAACACCAGTATGTTGTACTAGTAGTGTCAGACTGATCACAAAATTACATGACGGAACAAAAATTAGTAGAAATTCGACAGAATGGTTAAAGAAAGTGGTAACAAATCTAAATAGCTAATATCTAGTAGTAGTAATGACTTTCATTTTAAAGCACAAAAGTATTGCTATGGCTTGAACCATATTATTGCAAGTAATATTGCACATCATACAGTTGCAAGAAAAAGTATGTGAACCCCTTGGGATTACGTGGAATTTTGCATGAATTGGTCATAAAATGTGCTCTGAACTTCATCTAAGTCACAACAATAGAAAAAACAGTCTGCTTAAAATAATACTACACAAACATTAGATGTTGCCATGGTTTAATTGAACATAACATGTAAACATTCACAGTGGAGGGAGGAAAAAGTATGTGAGCCCCTAGCCTAATGACATCTTCAAGAGCTAATTGGAGCCAGGAGTGAGCCAACCTTGACTCCAATCAGTGTGATGATATTGGATGTGTTGCTGACAGCTGTCCTGCCCTTTAAAAACACACACCTGTTTTGGGTTTACTGGTTTCAAGAAGCACTGTCTGATGTGAACCATGCCTCGCAGAAAAGAGCTCTCAGAAGACCTATGATCAAGAATTGTTGACTTGCATGAAGCTGGAAAGGGTTACAAAAGTATCTCCAAAAGCCTTGATGTTCATGTGTCCACGGTAAGACAGACTGTCTACAAATGGAGAAAGTTTAGCACTGTTGCTATTCTCCCTAGGCGTGGTCATCCTGTAAAAATGACTGCAAGAGCACAGCGCAGAATGCTCCATGAGGTAAAGAAGAATCCTAGAGTGTCAGCTAAAGACCTACAGAAATCTCTGGCACATGCTAACATTTTTGTTGACCCATCTACAATAAGGAAAACATTAAACAAGAATGGGGTACATGGGAGGACACCATGGAGGAAGCCATTGCTGTCCAAAAAAAATATTGCAGCACGTTTGAAGTTTGCAAAAGAGCACCTGGATGTTCCACAGCACTACTGGCAAAATATACTGTGGACAAATGAAATCAAAATTGAGTTGTTTGGGAAGAACACACAACACTATGTGTGGAGAAAAAAAGGCACAGCACACCAACATCAGAACCTCATCCCCACTGTAAAACATGGCGGAGGGAGCATCATGGTTTGGGGCTGCTTTGCTGCCTCGGGGCCTGGACGGATTGTTGTCATTGATGGGAAAATGAATTCCAGAGTTTATCAAGACATTTTGCAGGAAAACGTACGACCATCTGTCCGCCAACTGAAGCTCCGCAGAGGATGGGTGATGCAACAGGACAATGGCCCAAAGCATACAAGTAATTCAACAAAAATGGCTTCAACAGCACAGAATACGCCTTCTGGAGTGGCCCAGTCATTGTCCTGACCTTAACCCGATTGAAATGCTGTGGCATGATCTTAAGAGAGCGATTCACACCAGACATCCCAAGAATATTGCTACACTGAAACAGTTTTGTGAAGAGGAGTGGTCCAAAATTACTCCAGATCGTTGTGCAGGTCTGATCTGCAACTACAGGAAACGTTTGGTTGAGGTTATTGCTGCCAAAGAAGGGTCAACCAGTTATTAAGTCCAAAGGTTCACATACTTTTTCCTCCCTGCACCGTGAATGTTTACATGTTATGTTCAATTAAACCATGGCAACATCTAATGTTTGTGTAGTATTATTTTAAGCAGACTGTGTTTTTTCTATTGTTGTGACTTAGATGAAGTTCAGAGCACATTTTATGACCAATTCATGCAAAACTCCACGTAATCCCAAGGGGTTCACATACTTTTTCTTGCAACTGTATATACCTCGAGCACCATTATGAAGTTTTAACTGAAAACTACACATTCAAATGTGAACTTGATAAAACTATGTCCAGAGCTACAATTTGATTTAAAAATGACCTTTATAAACTGCTCATACAACTGCTTAATCGTTTTCAGCCTTTGACCCTGAACTATTCTTGCTTGCTGGAAAGCTTTCTGTTGTTGTCGAAATACATTCTGAAGGATGAAAACGTATAATGGTTAATAAGTTGATATAATTCAATTATATAAATTTTCTTTGTTAACAAAAGACATCAGGAATAGACTGACTCCAAGTTGTATGATGCTGCATATTTTAAGTTTCAAAACTCTGTGTAAACCTGAATTCAACTTGAACCCTCGATGTTCAAGTTTATTTTGGGAAAGAGATCACTTTGGACAGCTGGTTTGAGACTCAGTTATGGCAGAAAGGAAAGTTGTACATTTCTGACCTACCTATTAACTGGCGTTAAATCTCAATTGTTTTTCATGGTTAAGCAAATCTTATAAAGTGCTTGACTTTGCTAATTTTACTTGAATTTCCTGCAGTCTGCAGGAATACCGTAAATATTTTCACAAAGTTAGTATTGCACACAATTCTACATCACTGAATATTTCATTTTTGGTTATTGAATGATAATTTCTCCTATACAAGCCATCTTCAGTTTGCAACCACAATAAGGACCAGTATTTCCATTGTAAGCAAGGCGGTTGTTAAATGAATCATACTAATTTTATGTCACAGTTAACTAAATCACTGCAGTTAAGTGACTCATAGTCATTAAGTGAATCAGGTCCCCCCCCCATTGACTTTGCCAGTCAGAATCCAGCTGTGTAGATTGCAAATGGAAATCACATGACCCTGGGATGTTGTGAAAGTCATAATATGTGCTGGATGCCAAGTGCCTGAATTTTGATCACATGACCATGGGGAGGCTGTGATGGTTATTAAGTGAGGACTGGTTGTAAGTCACTTTCAGTGCAGTTGTAACTTTGAATGGTCACTAAACAAATGCTTGTAAGTTGAGGGATACCTGTATCGCAGGAGGAAAAAGGAGAAGTCAGCATGAAATAGCAATCTGGTTAGTATAATAGAAGAAAACAAACCACTAGCTTTTCTTCCTGTTCCTCTGCTTTCTGAATATCAGCATCCCATTGTTGAAATACATGCAGGAACTGCTGAGAATACTCATGGTTAACCTTTTGCCTGCAATATATATTTATCATTACAAAGAGTGCAATATGTAATATCTTGTAAAATAAATCCATAGGAATATGAAATGGTGACTTTAACAGACTAAATTGGCATACTTGAGGGTAGTTCTAAAACATTGCAGACTTTAATGCTTTAAGTATCAACATTGTGGCATTTTAAAATATTGCAAAATGCAAACAGAAATGAAAATCAATGGTTTTTTTAAAATGTTTATTTTTAATGCCTGGGTTAATGTAATCCAGATTCATTCACATTATGTGTAATCCAGATACCAAAAAAAGCAGTTAGGATATTTCTCCAAGGGCTAAAAGTTTGCTTTTCAGTAAGCAAAATGCTGAACAAAATTTAATCATCATTTACAGGTAGTGGTCATGTGACCATATTTTGAGCAGTTGGGAACCACATTTATGGGGTTTGCAGCATCCTGCAGCCAAGTGACCACAATTTATGTTTTTGCAGGAAATTGGCCTTTACTGTCAAAAACTAGGTTATAGCAAACAATTAGTTCCCTTAAAAACCGTGTTTACTTAATAATCATAGGGTTTTGCTTTACAATGTGTTTATTTATTTATTTATTTATTCAATTCATATGCTGCCTTTCTCCGGAGACTCAGGGTGGTGTTCACTTAATGGCTGCTGCAAACTAGTTTGTAAAATGAGATCCAGTCACATGGTGATTGGCTTTACAATGGTGTCGACTTATGACCAAAATTACAGTTGTAAGTCAAGGACTAGCTATAAAGAATTAAGTAATTATTTTCCTGTGAAATATATATTACTCTTAAACTAACTGACCTTTGTTCCTGTTGTGTTTTCCAAACAAATTCTATTTTCTGGTTGCTTGTTTTAAGGGAAGCCTTTGTATACATTTCTAATCTTTTTCTTTTAGCCAGAAGAGCTTTGTTAATGTCCGCTACAGTAAGAGAATTGTTGTTTTTAGCAAGTAGGTTTAACACTTTGTAATAAATCCAAACATTACTATAGCACCTTTTCAGACTAATTTTGAGTATTGTACACCTAACTGTAGTATTTTCAATAAGCCAGTATACTAATAAATATTGAGTCATTAACATTATCAAATGGATAAATTCTACTACAATACCAAACTGTGCTGTACACAAAATGTGTACTAAGGTACAATGATCAACAGAAAAAGCAGTAACAGGATTTCGTTACAGTTCCACTTTATCCTTGGGTGAAACTTTTTCAGTAAAGCCATTTCACAATTTTAACTTAGCTTGAGAACCAAACTGGAACTGCATTAATTACAATTTAAGAATGTGCTTTTATTAACACTGCACCTGATTAAGTAAAGTTTAAATGATTGAGAGTAAATTATATAATAAACTACATATAACAAGAAGCAATTTGGGAAAGAACTTGAGGCACAAGACCAACACTTTGCTACTTTGCTACAGACCGTCATACTATTAGGTGCAGAAATAAAAACAAAGCATAGACTTTAGATTGAATAAAATTAATATATTAATTCAATGTTAGCTGACAATTTTGAATATATTAAGTATTTTTACCTACTACTGATGTTGCACTTCAAATATTAATAGATGCTGAAGAATCTTATGAACTGATTTACTGAGTTTATATTATTGCTACATATCCCTCCACACTTACTGGAGAAATTACAAAAGCAGGAAACCTAAAATATTCTAAAGAATGTACAATAGTGTTACTATATTCAGCTCTAGTGACACACATTAATTCCTTCGTCTTTGGATTTTTTCCCCCACCCATTGGTAAGAGTCACGGTCAAAATTTCAAATATACAGTTTTAGTATATTTGTTGCATGATCCTATCTGGGTCTGGTCCCAGTGACTGACCCAGATACTATACTGCAATATTATCCTGCAAAATTTATATTCACCTTCATGCATGTATAATAATAGCTATATGAGTATTTTCCAAAACATACCTCCAAATCGTTCCAGCATATTCTGCACTTCTCCCCTATAAAATAGATTAATTTTAAGACTAACTTCTGTACATTATAGGATAATATAATTTTATATTTTTTGTACTGTTCTGTAGCAATAAAATATTTATTTAATATAGCATGACAATTACACAGTTAATATACACCCATATACTAAATATATAAAATATGAACTTTACTAAAACATGTTGGCAAAATCAATACTGTGAATGGCACCTATCAATATTAAAAAATACCATAAAATAGAGAAAAATACAGAGATATATTATTGAATGAAATAATTGAAGACAGTACCTGTGAAGAAATAAATAATAGTATTATATTTAAACTATGGTTACTGAATTCCTGGGTTCAATGAACATTCAGCTAATTCCGAACCAAGCAATCTGACATTTGTAGCCTCTATATTCCTATTTTTACTGTGAAAATAATTGTTTTTCAATTACAATATATCTGCTTTACAGAGCTATTTTAATATTTTAAATTAAGTTATACAGGTAGTCCTTGTGTTACAAAGGCAATTGGGACTGGAATTTCCATTGTCAAGTGATACAATAATAAAACATGATGTCACATACCGCTTAGAAAAGACAATTGCTGCTATCCTCATTGGCCTTGTTAGGCAAGGATCATGGATGGTTAAACAAGAAGTTCCTTGCAATTTCCTGCTGGCTTCCAACAACCAAAGTCAGTGGGGAAGCTGGTAGAAAATTGCAAGTCTTGGTAGCTTGCAAGCAGGCTGGGAGATAGATAAGTGGCTGCTGCCAGGTGAGGAAGGATATGCAAGTGGCCAGGGAGACACAGCATTAAGTGCAGCAAGGGTCCAGGAGATTGTGTGGACAGTGGGGTAGGGGAACGGCATGTAAGTGAGGAGATTTACCTGAGCAACTTGTGATTTTCCCTGCTGGCTTCCTGATTTTGTGTGAAGCAAACAGAGAGGATCACAAATTGCAATCACATAACTGCCAAAGCATCTAAACATTATAAGTGCAAGTCAATTGTCAAGCACCCAAATTGCAATCATGTGACTGCACAGGTGCTGGAATGGCTGGAACTTCGAGAGTCAGTCATTATCACAACTTGTCCACCATCGTTGTAACTTCAAATGGTCAATGAATAAGTGCTCATTAACTAAGCACTGCCTGTACTTGGGTATAAATTGCCAAAATCTCTCATATATCTAATATGGAGCTCAGCATATCTGGTCTGAAAAACTCAGGAAAATGTGTTGGTTGCAAAGAGTAGGTGTGTTCTGTATTTTTGTTATCTAATGTGCATCCAGTTTTGTACCCCAAATATGGTAGTCCTATCTATTCTATTAGCATTTATTAGATTTATAAATTCTGCTCTGTGTGATAGTTATAAATCAATTACCCAATTCAATTCTTAGTACAAAGAGAGGCTTTGAATGCTTGAAATTTCTCACATTGGTAATTTTTTGATCCAATCCAGTAATTTAACAAATTCTTAATTATGTTTCTATGTAAAATAAAGACAAACTCTATTTAAATGTGCACACAGACATTTTTTGCAATGCATCTTACATTGACATGACAATCTTTCTATGCTACATCGTCTCTGAGTTGATATACCAACTCGTATGTGGTCGCCAAACTTCTGAAAAGATTTATAGATATGCACTTCTGATTGACTACTATAACTATAGCTGCTCATATACTATATAATTACATTTAATATAACAGCTGTGCATCAAAAAAGTGAGTGAGAGAGCAATTTACCCAACATCATCCTCAACTCCTGCATGAGGAGTTACTGGTCTTTTCTTCCCATGTTTATCAATCACTGGAGCTTCATCTTTACAGAAAAGCAAAACATAAATTTAATTAACTGTATCACCAGGAAAAGATGAAAGAAAACAGCAGATCAGCCCTTAGTATTCCTCAAGTTGTGTGAACCTCTCTAAACACTGAGCGCATCTTGTAGGGTCCACTCAAATGCATGAGGCCAATGAAGCTGTGACATGGTAATTACACTCACTAATCCAATCATATTTTTGATACTCAAATTTAAAACATTACAAATTTTCATATAAATTAAATCCCTATAGTTCTATGCTGAGCCTGATATATCAAATTATTGCACATTACTTATTTATATCCCATCTGTATTATTTTTATAAATAACAAACATATACAATACTTGTTCTTCCTTCTATTTACCCCACAATAACCCTGTGAGGTGAGTTGGACTGAGTGTGTATGACTGGTCCAAAGTCACTCACCCAGCTTTCATTACCTTCTGGTTACATTTTTCTGTGGACAACCAATAAAATAGCAAAATAATGAAATATATTTCAGAACAAAATATAGCAGTGTGAACAATAATTGTATTGTTCCATTTATATCTGCAATATTTATTAACAGCGGCTCTCCAAAATCCCAGCAGAATTACTTCCTGTAAGGTTTAATTAATTATTGTGAAGACCGCATTTAAAGATTGTACAAAAAAGGTTGTACTACTCACAGAAAGACTTTAGGATTAACAAACAAAATTGTTTCATTAAATATAAAAAATTACTTAATTTCTAATTAATTTTTAAAACATGTTTTAATACTTTTAGAGAATCAGCTATATTTTTTTCAGCACTGTACTGCAGTGACTTACTCATGGTAAAAATTATGCAAAAATCTTAGCTGAAATAAATTACAACACATACCAGTTTGTAAAGACTGTATCCAAAGGTTTTGGTATATGGTAAGCTTCTATGGAGTAGTCTTTGCCTTCTTGATTTTTTTGTTGTTTTTAGTGCAACAAACTATGACAGCTACAACTTGGAAAACTACTATAGATACACTTCGGAGCTCTTAGTGTTTTGAATTAGGATATGAAAACAGTTCAAATGCCTCTAAATCACTAAAAGTATAACAGAATTCTGCTATTTCCACTGCCATAAGCACAATATGAGTACAATATTTCTTTAAATAAATGTTTATCTGGTTGTTTTGGTTCACAACTACATGATTGTTAATTGTTTACATTGTTTACTCTACTTTCCACCTCTCAAAACCTGCCTGTAGATAAATTTCACATGACAGATAACTGAGTTTCTAAACAATGGATACTTGGTGTAACGCTGGATTTTTTAATGATTAAGCTGACTACTGCACCTTCTCTAATGTCCTCGTCAGAACCACTCAGATGTTTTTTTAGGTCATCTTCAAATTTATAGACATGTACAGCTGCACCTTCCTGTGTTAGTTTGGTTGTTTTCCCTGTGGATTTTCTTCCTGATGGTGCCATGATTTTCTAAATGCTGTAACAATTACATAAATACACATCAACATTCAAATGTCACATTTGTTTAGTTAAATCAGTACTGTTGTATCTTGCATCTTTTTGTAAAGCTACCGTAATTGGAATTCACTAATGTTATGTCCCTTATGTACATAATTTCTTATACAAAGACATTTTTCACATATGAAAAATGTCACATATGAAAAATTTCACATATGAAATTAGTTATGAGGTTATGACAAAATAATATTTTTAACTCATATATAAAACAACTCTATTTCATCATGCAAGTTCAACTGTATAAACCAATCTCATAAATTAACAATCTAATTTGTTTTAAGTAAACTGCAAAACAGATTAAAAAGTACAATTTTATTATTATTCCAACTTTAGATTTTGTTTCTGTATCAAATTTAAACTGGTTTATTAAAGTTGCTTGTGAATCAGTATCTAGTATCGTCATGTTTCAATATTTAAATACTGTAACTGAAAGTCCAATATGCTAGAAAAGAGAAATCCCTGTTGGTAATGAAACTTCAAAAAGCTATCACCAGAAATTTCCCTTTATGCTTTTAAGCATCAGCTAAAGCAGCAGTTGATATATACACCACTGTATATTGGTGTATACACTGTGTAAGGACGCACTGTATTGCCAAGATTATAGTTCTGCATTTTCTTTATTACCCTGGGAATGATTGTTGCCAACTTGGCTGTACTATAATAACAGTTCAGTAAGAGTTGGAAGGGACCTTGGAGGTCATCAAGTCCAACCCCCTGCTCACGCAGCAGACCTTTACTAGGGATTCGAACCGCCAACCTTTCTGATCGATAAGCTCAGTGTCTTAGCCACTGAGCCACCTAGTCAGGCTTATACACATGAAACACCGACTGAAAAAAATACTTTTAAAAAGAGACACAATAATTCTATTTTATTTTATTAGTATCCCAGGCTGTCTGTAGGTTAGGATTTTATTTGTATTACGACTGTATATTTCTCTATACATTGCTGGCCTGTGAGTTACCGACGTTAACTATTTTGGATTGGAGCATGCAGGCACGCTGAAAGTCCACATATAAATAAAACTCTGGAAGAGGTTTAATAAATTCGATGTAAGCCTTTTCTGAGTATCCTATTTCCTTCATCGGCCCATCTTTTCTTTCGCTCTCCCCTGGAGATATGCCCTTGGAGGGGAAAAAGGACCGCGCAAAACTCTCTCCCCCTCTGCTCACTCTTCAAAGCAGCCGCTGCCTCTTTTATTTCCCGCCAAAATCACCTCAGAGCCGAACTGGCGGCCCCGCTTTCTGCCTGAGCTCATCCCCCTCCCGTCCGCGTACCAGGCCAGCCACCGACCGCTCGCCCGCTCACACACGCACCCCGCACACGGATTATCCCTCCCGCTATTTTCCTCTCCCCCAGCCCCAGCCCCTCGCTCTACTCCCCTCAAAGAGGAAAGAGCCGAGCTGAGGGGAAAACACGCCGCCCGCACCAGCCTCTGCTCTCCTGAACCTTCCCCGCCCTTTCTTCAAAGGCTCGGTCTGCGCTTGCGTCAAAGAGGGGCTGCGAGAAAAGCCCACGTGACACCCGAGAGAGCGTTCCAGGCCGGGAGGTCGGCCGCGTGCAGTTATAGTTGCAAACTATAAATTGGAGGCGCGAGTTGCTTTTGGTGCTTTCTTTCTTCACCACCTTTGAGGAGTGGAGAGAAAGGACACCTACACCCTCTAGGAGATTGTGAGATAGGGGACCATATATACATCGATAAAAATGAATAACACACAAGCATACCCAAGGTTGCGAGTTGGGCAGTTGTATATATATATATATATATATATATAGATATATATCTGTAGAAACAGATTACTATACAAAACACAAACACAATCCGAATATAGCTTTTTGAACCTACTGCATGTCTGTTTGGTGGTGTTTGAATCTAACCTGGATGCTTTTTCACCTGAACATTTGATCTAGTTCACAAAGCCTTTCAATTCCACTCCACAGATTAGATTACATTAGATAGATAGATAGATAGAAAGATAGATAGATAGATAGATAGATAGATAGATAGATAGATAGATAGATATAATTAGCGATGATAGATATGATATAATTAGAAAGATGATAGATTAGATAGATATGATAGATGATATAGAGATTAGATTAGATATGATATAGATGATAGACAGACAGACAGACAGACAGACACATGCATACACACAATTTTAGAAGTCTTTCTCAAGGCTTAATAATTTTTCCAGCATGCCTTCCCATTTTTAGATAGTGAGGGGCAAATAACATAGGTTTTGTTATTTGTTAACTAACATAGTTACTTTGTATATTAATCTTATTTATATTCTTTCTTTTAAAGCGATGTTCAAGATTTATTAGCTTTTAACATTCCTAAACTGATAAACAAGCTGGAGACTTAGCTCCTGATAAGAAAAGTTTGTTAGTACAAATTGGGGTCTGGCTTATCTCTTTTGTGAACCCTAAATAACCTTTCTCCTTACAATATATTCCCCTTCAGATCTCATTTTAATAAACATGTATGCTATTATCCTCTCCAATCAACTTTCCTCTTTCAGATTTGTTACATTGAGTACAAAAGGGGATGTAAGCTAAAGATCAGGGTTCCCTCTTTGAATGAGGAATCACTTTTGTCTGAATATTCTGATAAATTGTAATAAATGATCTTCCTGTCTCGGTTTGTCTCATTGGAAAATATGCATACCGAGGCACGAGCCTGAAAAAGCCATATTTGGCCATCAGTAGTTATCCAGCATCAATGTTTGGGTGAAAGAAAACTCTGAAGATTGGAAACAGCCCAGCACCCTGAGAAACAATGGCTTAATTTAAAGAGAAAATAAGGGAGAAGAGATAAGAGCAGTTTTACCACTGCAAGGATTTTATTAATAGAAAGCAAGCAGAGACCACTTATTTTTCCTATTTCCTTATTGTACAGAAGTACAGCTATAGAATTTTAAGCTGCCCAGAGTCATTTGGTTAAGTTGGGTGGCTGTGAAACTGAATGAATGAATGTGTGCTTATATACATATAATGGGTAACCCTAACTTTACTGCAGTTTGATGGGAGGTCATAAGGCTACCAGAATTGGGGGTGCAGCAAACCAGAGGAATATTTGATGCTGTCATCTGCTAGTTGTTGATGTTTTCATTCAGATTTGATAGCCCTAAAATAAGACTTCTGCATTTTGTACTGAAAGTCAAAAGGTGTATGCTAATGAGCATACACATGTACATAACAAGGTGCTGGATGGCTATTCCAATTGTTTGCTTCACAGCTTAAAAGCATAGGGAAAAAAGCAAAACAAGTGTATATTCTTATTGGTGAAATGAATATTATAAAATGCATTTTTCATGGCTGCATTCTTGTACATTTTTCATGGTCCTCAATAGTGCTTTTTATATTTTCCCTTGAAAGTAATCTTAATCTTCAAAAAATGTAGCCAGCAGCTGTAGCACAAATCTATTATATTTACTTTGGCTCCTGGTACATAGTGAACTTGACTTTTTCAGTGGAGCTGGGCATCTATGACAATTGTATCCCTTGGGCAGTTCTGATTTCAACTTGGACTCAAATAAATGGGAGTAGTCATACTTGGTTACCAAATTTGGAAAACACTGAATGCAAACACGCAGAAATGGTAATCAATGCAGCTATGAAATCCTTATTCCTCATCTTTTTCAATCATTAACTCCATAAATCATTTCACTTTTTCTTTTAGCAAAGGTGTCCAGTCTTTCAAAAAACAAAAAAGGACTTATTATTTTTTTCCTTGATGAAACAGGTCAGTTTTGTCATTTCCAAATGTTAGTCTTCATCATTTGATAATTGAAATAACTCATATCACTAAGTACAGTAATGTTTTTTATTGTTCATTTTTATTAAAAGTTTTTACATAGCGAAAAGACATATAGCAGTAAAGAAAAGAAAGAAAGGAGAAAAAGGTAAAAGAAAAGTGCAGAACAGAATACAGTTAAAGGGAAAAAAGCCCCATAGTTACAGAAGCTACTTCTACAAACTTATTATCCCTCTGCCATTTTTAGCATTACAACAATCTCTTCAGCCCTTTATTCAATTATTTAAGGTTGTAGTAAAATGTTTTTATTTTTTAAAAAAAAGTTAAAAAGAAGTTACTTTACAGAAGCTGAAAGAAATTTATTTGTATTTAAAATTAATCATGTGTTTTTCTAGGTAATGAAAAAGGTGCCTTTTTATTTGGAAATATTTAACAGTTTTCAGAAAATTAAATCTTTGATCATTCTTTGACACATCTTCCAGAAAACATTTTAAATCAGTGACACTATTAAAAGAAAAATATATTTTACAGCATATATACAATGAAAAGCTTTTATCTTCATTATAAAATGACTGATGTAATCTAAACTCCAGTAAAGTTATTCATGACTGAGGACAATCCATTCAAAATATCTTTTTTAAATTATCCTTTTTTCTGTTCCTCCTGATTTTGGAAAATTACTGATAAAGCAGATTACAGAAGAAATCTCAGTTTTCTAAAAACATGATATGAGAAATTAAGTCAATATCATGCTAATACACTTACAAAGCAATACAATGTACAACAAAATGTAGCCACCAATTTTTACTGCTAAAATATACATAGTTGTATAAATAAGTTACGTCTAAGCCTCTTTACTAGATTGTAACCTTTAAATGTTAATTCAGCATTCAGTTATTAATGTGAGTAAAAATTTGATTGAGCAGCAATTTACATTATGATCAACAAAGGCATTACATTGGCACTACAGATTTGAACATTATTTATGTACCAATTTCTTTTGTACCTAATTGCAGAAAATATAGCAACAAAACTGACATTTTGAATCTTTCTTTGAGAAAATAATCTATAGTTGAACCCATTATATATAAATACTTTACAATAAGCAGGTGGCATCTAAATTGGAAGTAGGGAAGCTAAAGTAGCAATTTTGCCCCTTTGTGTTACAAGTGCAAGATTCACAGTGGCTCCCGCAGATGAACAGTAGGACTCTAACCCTGATAAGGATTCCAGTTGTGCCCCAATGCTGCCAGGGAATTCTGTCAATTTAAAGATTACTCGCATATTCATAAAAATATCTGATTCTCTTTTAGGCTTCATATCACATTCTTCTTTCTCTTGTAGAGTAATCTACAGATAAGGAACTTGAAATTAGTAATATAAACCATCCTATTGATCTAACTGGCTGCAGCAAAGAATACCATGGCATACTTGTGATAATGATTTCAATGTATACTAGCCCACAGAATTACCACCCAAATTTGTATATTTTCTGATTCAGAGAGCAGAATAAACAAACTAAAGAAGTAATCAAATGGCTAATAGTTCATTAAGACCTTCTGACAGAAGCTTAGAACACATCTAATAGAAACATAACTTTCCATTATTATATTTCATTGGCAATGGATGCTGCAATAAATGCAGCTATTTTTCAGTAACCCTTTTTATGAAAAGGATAAAGCATTCAGAAGATCACTTGTGAGTCACAAACATTTGAAATCTGGCAACACAATGCTACCTGCCTCACAAACATATTTTCCCTTTCTAAATTCAATAGCATGAATCACACGTAGAAACACAACAATAAGGGATGGGGCCACTTCTCCAGAAATAACTGAAAACTTTACATGCTTATCACATGTTGAGGTAGTCTGATTTATAAATAAGCATTCTTTTACACTTTCATTCGTTCATAACAAACTTCTTTCTGAATCCTCCTCCTTGGAAAAAATTTTCGTTTGAGAGCTATTAGCTGAAAAATAAAAGAACAAGTTATTTTTTTTAACATTGATGCACACGATCATGTCGCTATATTCTATACCCTGGAAACATCTATCCAATATCTGTATTTCCAACATCTGCATTTCAGAGGTAAGACTATTTTCCTCTAGAAAGTATGGCAGACTTTATAGCCTAATACAGCCTTTGAGGAAAACCATGAAACCCTGTATAAAATGCCTTTGAAAATGTTATATACCTGGTTCCCCATTAATCTAGAAAGTGACATATTTCATAAAATCATAACAATTCTAACCATGATTTTTTTTCTGGGGAGAAATAATCTACCCAGTCTTTCTTCCTGAACAGGCTATTGGTATTACTGAGGATGTATATGCATCTCAATTTTGGGCCCCAGATATCTATAAACATGTTCATAAAACATGTTTC